GGAGGGGAGGAGAAGAAGAAGAAGAAGAAGAAGAAGAAGAAGAAGAAGAAGAAGAAGAAGAAGAAGAAGAAGAAGAAGAAGATAGGAAAGGCTGGAGAATTAAAAGGAAGCAATTTAGCCTCTAAGGATGGAGGCACAGATTTGGATCATCAGCCATTTTCTCCCAGCCCTTTGTGTTACTAATGAGAAGCAGACATGGGCATATGATGGTCACTGTTGTTGAGGACAGTGGTGACATCTGGGGACAGATTCTATACAGTCGCTCTTTGTGATCTTTACTTCGCAACCATCCAGACTGATTTTTGATTCTCGTGAACTCTGTCAGCTCCCAAGAAATGATCCTCTGATTGAATTAGGCAGTCATTTCTTCAGTTACTTGCAAACAGGAAATTGATCAAATCGTTCACCAGAGAGACCTATTTCTCTCTTTGCACAGCTAACCACACCCCAGAGTCTGGAAGACCCTTTGGCAAGCTTTATTTCCTTTCTGCCTTGGCAGGTTGGGACAAAAAGTGAAGATTATAAATCTAACCTCCTTGCCTGCCATTCCTCAGGTTCCATCCTCTTTGTTTTCTGAGACAGTGTCTCCCACTGGCCTGGAACTCACCAAGTAGGCTAGCCTGGCTGGCCCATAAACCCCAAGTATCTATTTGCCTCTGCATCCCCAGTGATGAGATTACAAATGCACGCTACCGTGCCCAGATTAGTTTCGTCTAGGTTGTGAGGATCAAAATCAGGTCCTCACGTTTTCGAGACAAGGGTTTTACCAACGGATCTCTTTGCCCACCCCCACCTCTATGCTAGTTTGCTTTCTGTTGCTGTGAGAAACACCATGGAAAAGGCAGTCTGGGAAGGAAAGGGTTGACATGTTTTACAGGTTAGAGTCCATCATGAAGGGAAGTCGGGGCAGGAACCTGGAGGCAGGAACCACACAGGAATACTTGCTAGCTCACTTCTCTGGCTTACTCGGATACTTTCCCTTATATGTAATCCTGACCCAAATACCTAGGGATCACACTACTCACAGTGGGTTGAGCTTTGCTATATCAATTAGTAATTAAGAAAATGCCCCCATTGACCAATGTAAAAGAGGCAATTCCTCCATTGAGGTGCCCTCTACCCAGGTGGCTCTGGTTTGTGTTAAGTTGAAAAAAAAAAAAGTCAGCACACCACTACCCCCCCCCCCCGAATACTTTTTCATATCTTTGGATAGAATGCCATGCCCAAGCCTTTAAAATCGGTGCTAATATGCCATACGAAAGGCTTTTTAAAGCCACCTAACACTGCAGTAGAATCCTTTCCTAGCCGTTCTGTCAAAGTTCATACTGCTGGAGCTGGAGAGCCGGCTCTGCTGGTACAGGCGCTCGCTGCTCTTGCAGAGGAACTAGACTCGGCTCCCAGCACCCACATGGCACCTCACCACCATCTGTACCTCCAGTTCTAGGAGATGTCATGCCCTGTTCTGGCTTCTACAAACAGTAGGCACCCCACATAGTGCATGTGGATGCATGCAAGCATACACACATACACATAAAATAAAAATAGATTTAAAAAATAAAAATAACTGAGCCTGGTAGGTTATTTTTAATGACAATAGAGAAGCTGAGGCAGGAAATTTTCTGAATTTGAGACTAGCCTACTCTACATAATGAGTACCAGGCCAGACAGGACTACACAGTGAGACCCTGTCTCAAAATAAGTAAATCCAGACTACTTCCTACAGGTCTAAGTTAATCTCTCTCCAAAGTGAGTCCAAAGGCTCATGCCTCCACCCACCCAATTCATCCACCCACCCACCATCCCTCTCAACCTCTGACCTGGGTGAGACAGAGATAAATCTGTAAATGCAAGTTCATTTAGATCTTCATCCAGATTTGATTCCTGTTCACTGCTGAGGGAGAAAACCTTTCAGATGAAGACTCCCTCCTACCCTAAAGGCATCTGCCATTGATTTGTTGGGAGGCTGTTGAATTCTCACTTGTCAGAGGAGTGCCAGCCCTGCCTCCTGGGAAGACGAGCACACAGAAAATGACTTCTAATAGCCCTCCAACTTCTTATCCATAAAATGCACAAACACTTCGTATTCTCAAGCTTTCCCTCAGCCAGATGTTTGAACGAAGCTGACTCTCTAAAGGAGACCAAAATAACCATGCCTGGAAGAAACTACAGTGTCCCTTTTTTTTTTCCTTCAGCCACAGATTTATCTAGTAATGTGCCTAAAAACCAAACCTGAGAACCAGTGAGTCACCACTCAGCAAATCAACTAGTGTCCATTTGCTAATTGACAAGTATTTTAATTTTTCACACCTTTTATATGGGGATGTGAATTCATATAAATACAGAACATACATACCGCCCTTGATTTGTTACCACCCTCCTTCTAAGCATTTTCTTAATCGTGTTTATACGCATGTATCTGTGTTGTGGGTTTGGGCATAAGCATGCAGTCACCCATGGAGGCCAGGGCTTCAGATAACCCGGAGCTAGAGTCACAGGAGATTGTGAGCCCCCTGACATGGGTGCTGGGAACTGACCTAGGGTCCTCTGGAGAAGCAGACTGTGCTGAGCCACCTGTCTTAGGTGTCAAGCTATCTGTCCAGCTCCATTGTCTTCCCTTTCATCATTGCTCTGACAGAGAGAGCCTTTCAAAGGATTCTCCACACTTTGCACTGTATATACTTACACTAAAAATTGTGACTGTGCATCACATATCCAGACCCATAAGTACATACATACATGTATCATATATTTGATGCATATATATATATACATATATATATGGCAACTTATCTCCTGCCTTTGCATATACTTATACCCTGCCCTCCATCATCACCATATGCATATAAATCCCTAGCCTTAAATAACTACAGTGCTGCTTGGTGTCACTCCAGCCAAGGAATCTCAGGACAGCTCATACATATCCTTCCACCAATTCTGCCGCGTTGCAAAAGGTCTCTCATCTCTCCCAACAAACCTAACTCTCTCTAAAGACCCCATATGGAAGGATGCCCACTTCTGAAGGCATCTCTGTGAGTCACTCCCCCACAGGAGATCACACGCACATAGATGCCAGATAATTCACACAGGAAAACCCAAGTCCAGGCTCCTAATAGAAACATCCATTCTCAACAAGGCTCTGATGCTGACGTGTGAGCCTTGCTCAGGGTGAGGTCCTTGATTTTCAGACTCCCGGGCTGCTAGAAGCTATCATAGTAAGCCTCTCCGTACTCCTGTTGTATGGTACCGGTACCCTTAGATTCGGGGATCTGGGGACACTGCCAGCCTTCCTGTGGTCACCTGTAAGCTCCTGTAATGCAGGCTTTTAGCTTTAGACAGGCACTTTATAGTTCAGCATAAAGAGAAAAATACCTTCAATAAATCAAAGAGGCAGGCTACTGAGGAAAGCAAGAAGAAACAGGGATACACAGATAGGTAAGACAGTTTCTACCCTTGCTGTGCTCCTGGTGACACAGGGAAGCAAATGTCTTTTAGATATGTAACATGAGTGACTTCTCACTTCCCAAGTCCCCTTCTTGAGATGTGTTACAGGACCCTTTCCTCCTGGGGAAAGGCCAGACACACTTAGGGTTGGGACAACTGAAAGAGGGCATTGGAATAATAATAGTAACTAGCCTTAGGGAGCACTTACTAAGCTACATTCTATTCTTTCAGCATCTGATAACTGTTAGGTACCATCATAGCCTCAGGCAACACAGGGCAGAATTCCAGGGACAAAGACGTGCTCGCGGCTGTTCCTAGGATGAAAAAAACAAGTATTTCTCCATGGGGAAAACTCTGGCCCTCCAACCACCGCTCCCCATTTTGGAATTCTAAGACAAGCTGGTATCTAGCTTACACGAAGAGGTATGTAGCCTAAGCCGACCTTGAATTTGATATGTAGGAGAGAATGGCCATGATCCTCCTGCCTCCGTCTCTCAAGTGCTGGGACTACAGACTCGTACCACCATCCTAATACTGGGGGACAGAACCCAGGGCTTCCTGTGGGCTAGGCAGACACTCTACTGGATGAACTCCCTCTCCAGCCCCACTCCCCCAGCCCCTGCTCCCTCATCCCCCACCCCCACCCACATCCTCCCTTACTCGGGAGCACCTCCAGGAAACAGAATAGTAGCTTATTCCCTGGCTTGGCTTCCACCGACACGCTAGATTTATTGACCTGTTCTGGGCTTATCTAAAGAGAACGAAGAATACAGGGGAGAGGAGAAGGCTTGTCTTGTCCAGCGGCTGCTATGACAAACTACCATGAACCGGATCGTTCATAAACAAGAGAAACTCATTTCTCATGGCTCCAGAGGCTGGGAAGTCCGAAATGAAGGTCCTGGTAGACTCAATGCTGCGGGAGGTCCCACTTCGTGACTCACAGATGACCCTCTCCCTTTTCCCATGGGGCAGAAGGAGCAAAGCAGCTCCCTGGGTCCCTTCCTAAGACACTAATGCCATCCACGACCCGACCGCTCCCCACCGCTTCACTCTCGAACGTCCCATCGGTTGGGATCTCAACTAAGGAGTTTGGGGAAGACACAAGCACTTTTAGCTGAGCCAGGTACACTTGTGTTGTTGACCATTTACCAGTATACCTTTACTGTTGTGCCCTAGGAACGAGACACCACCCCCCCACCCCCGAAGAGACCACCAGAGACACGAACTCACCAAAATGCAAAAGCAAGGTTTATTGAAGCAGTTCAAGCCGCGCGACAGGGCCCTCCTCAAGCCATCTGACACAGTAGAGGCTGGAGGAGGTGCCAGCCCCTCTGCAAGCTCTTGTTTTAAAGACAAAAACCATAAGGTTACATCATTTAGGGGTGCTAGTACGGGTACAATTCTGATTGGCTCAAGTTTTAGGGACTTTTCAGAATTTCTGTGTTATCTCACTTTGCAGTTTTGACCGGTTGTTTGTCAAACATGATAGACTACCTCCGGCATTGGGGCATTCTGTGGTTAATCAATCGTTACCAAATAGTCCTTCAAACATCCTGACTTTGTACTTTTGACCATCTCCGGCATTGCGGCATTCTATGGTTAATCTGTTGCTACCAGATGGCTCTTCAAACATCCTGACATTGTCCTGGGACCTATGTCAGCAGCTCTGAGAATTCTGAAACTCGAGCCTGTTTCAAGCTGGGGTGAGGGGCTTACTTGAAATGGGGGCGCTTTGGTTCTTCACTACCCCACCCCGTGCCAGAGGAAAAGCTGTACTCAAGAAAGCAAGCAGAGGAGGAGACAGAGACAGGGTGCACGGAGTGTTGGTGACTGAGGAGAGCGGTTCTGGACCCCGTAAGAGGTTGGCATTATACACAGCCTAGTTGAGCTGATTTGAATAAATGAATGAAATCTGCATGGGCACGGAACTGGAATTGACGGTGCCCCGGCTAAGGACAATGACTGTAAAGAATATCCCTTGTTACACGAGATGAATAGGAGGAGCCTTGGGATGCTTCCTCGGTCTTCCAGTAGGGTCTGGCAGGACGCCAAGCCAGGGGCTCAGGAAGGCACGATCGTTTCCATCCTATCCCAGCCTTTGTCTTGGCTAATGATTCCCTTCACACACACACACACACACACACACACACACACACACACACACACACACAGCTGTCTTACCTTGCTGTGGCAAGGTGACTGGTTCAGATGAGTTCTTCTCTCTCCAGCGTGTGAAACCTGTGGGGGTCTCACAGCACGTCCCCTTCAGGACACCACTGTAGCAGAAGTTGCTCTGGTCCCACCCGGTCCTGTAGCTGCTCATGAAATAATCACTCAGAGGCTTATATTAATTACCAACTGTATGGCCTATGGCAGACTTCTTACTAGCTAGCTCTTTCATATTAACCCATTTCTGGCGCCTTATCTCAGCTGGTCTGCCCGAGACCCCCTGAGCACGAACCCTAGTCCCCCGAGCGGCCCCATTTCCACTCCGACAAGATGAAAGAAACGATCATGAACCAGGAGAAGCTGGCCAAACTTCAGGCCCAAGTGCACATTGGTGGAAAAGGAACTGCTCGCAGAAAGAAGAAGGTGGTTCACAGAACAGCCACAGCAGATGGTAAAAAACTGCAGTTCTCCTTAAAGAAGTCAGGAGTGAACGATATCTCTGGTATTGAAGAGGTGAACATGTTTACAAACCAAGGAACAGTGATCCGTTTTAACAACCCTAAAGTTCAGGCGTCTCTGGCGGCAAACACCTTCACCCTTACAGGCCACGCTGAGACAAAGCAGCTGACAGAAATGCTTCCCAGCATCCTCAACCAGCTCGGAGCGGACAGTCTGACTAGTTTAAGGAGACTGGCTGAAGCTCTGGCCAAACAATCTGCGGATGGAAAAGCACCACTTGCTACTGGAGAGGAGGAGGATGATGATGATGAAGTCCCAGATCTGGTGGAGGATTTTGATGAGGCTTCTAAGAACGAGGCAAACTAAACTGACGCGACTTCTGAAGACGGTGGCACCTGCAGAAGTTACAGGAGCTGCTATTTTATATCATGGCTGCTTTTTAAAATTCTTTTGTTTATGGATCTGATAAAATCTAGATCGCTAATATTTTTAAGCCCGAGCCCCTTGGACACCGCAGCTCTTTCAGTTTTTGCTTAAAACACAATTCATTCTTTGCAGCAAATTAAGCTGAAGAAGCCTGGGAATAAAGTTTGGAAAAGGGTTAATAAAATTCTTTGCCTAGTAAAAAATAAAATTAAATAAATAAATAAATAAACCCATTTCTATTTATCTATGTATCACCACATGTCCTGTGTCCTATTACATGTTGCTCCTTGGACGGCAGTTCAGTGTCTTCCCTAACTCTCCTTTCTTCTCTCACTATCTCTCTTGGATTTTCCCGCCTGGCTCCATCCTACCCTGCCATAGGCCAATGCAGCTTTGTTTACTAACCAGTGGGAACAGCATATATTCACAGTGTGCAGAAAGACATCCCACCGCACACCACTGTAGTCCTCACCGAGGCTCCCAGCCACTACACTATGAGAATTTCACAACCAGGAGGAACACCACCACTGAGAGCAAATGCCTGGGGGGGTGGGATATTTACACCAATCTCCGCCCTGCAGCATTTGACTTTACCCTGTCAAATGATTCCTTTCTGCCCTTTGGGGTGTGCTGGGAAAACTTGGCAAGCTCTCAGGTAAACTGCTTTGTTGGGCTGCTAAAAGTTTCATAGTTCATATATGGCTTCTCTCAGCTTCTCCTTGTGGAGAGGCCCTCAAGCTGGGAGATGGGTGTGGAGCTGACCTATGGACCTCCTTGGTAGCAGCCTGGGGTATCTAAGGTGGCTTGTGTTTTTCCTGCTCTCAGCCCCTCACCCCCAGGACCCAGACCTCCAGCACCCTGTGGCTGGGAGAAGGGACAGAAAACACAAGTATTTGTGGTGAGGGTAGGGGGTACTTTACTTGACGACTTTTCTTCGTTTTTATTGAATTGGTCACTCTTCCCTGGGCATCCCCAGCAGGTCATGGTTGCTTCTGTGTGACAAGTATCTTCTCCAGAGATTAAAGGATAGGAGAGATGCTGGCTTCCAGCTGTTGCAAACTTCAGGGAAGCCAGCTGTCGCTACCCTTCTCTTCTGACTGTGGCGGGACCTTCAGGTCTAGATTCTCTACTCCTCTCCTCCCATTTCCCCTTGCCTCTTATTATCTTCCTGCCTCCCCATGACACACACACCCAAAGTCCCCTCAGGGGAAACCCACCTGCCAAGAGTGTCCGGTGGTTCCCGGCATGCCCTGGAGAAGTCATCTTTCTCCTCACACCAAAGGTCTAGGTGGAGCATGGTTCCCTGCCTCTTCCCCTTTGACAGACCCCCGTTCCCTGCCTCTTCCCCTTTGGCAGACCCCACCAGATCTTTGGTGCTTTCTCTAGTGATTGGGCTCCCGGAAGGATCTGCAAAGTCACAGACTAGCAGCTGCATACTCTAGCCACCAGGTGCTAGGGTCTCCTTCCTCTCACCTCCTGGCTTAGAGCCTATAAAAGTGCTTTCCTTCTGATGTATTATTTCCCCCTCACTCTCCTTCTTTTTTCTTTCCTTTTCTTTCTTTCTTTTTTTTTTTTTTTTTTTTTTTTTTTGAGACAGGATTTCACTGTGTAGTCCTGGCTGTCCTGGAATTCACTCTACAGACCAGGCTGGTCTCCAACTCACAGAGATCCCTCCCAAGTATGGGATTAAAGGTGTACATCACCACCACTCAGCTGCATTTTATATTTATATATATATATATATATATATAAATTTAGTTTTATATATTATATATAGTTTATTTATTCTCATGTGCATTGGTGTTTGGCCTGCATGTACGTCTGTCCGGGAGGATCAGATTCCCCTGGAACTGGAGTTACAGACAGCTGTGAGCTGCCATGTGGGTGTTGGGAATTTCGGCCAGTGCTCTTAACTGCTGAGCCATCTCTCCAGCCCCCTCAGCAAAGGAAAAAACCCCCAATCACTCAAGAAGGTAAGCCAGAAGCCTGGTGACTTGCCACCGGACCACACCACAAGGTGGAGGAGATTCATGTACAACCCTGGATGAGCCATATCGTACTATAAAGATGGGCGTGAGCTTGAGGCCTTTTCAGATCTGAAGTCCACCCACTCAGGTAGTATGAGCATAGCAGTTGTGCTCCAGCCTCTGCGTGGAGCCTGGTAAATGCCATTAGAGAGCCACATGCGCCACCTGGTGGCCAGATTCTGCCATTGTATCTGCGCCGGGTTGCAGTATTTGGTTAAAGGACTCGTGATACTACTAGAAGTCACACTGTCACTCCGTCATATTTACTTCCAGGAGCCTTCCCGTGAGCATCAGCTCAGTCAATACGCAAAAAATACCAGCATATTTTTTTTGTTGTTTTTCGAGACAGGGTTTCTCTGTGTAGCCCTGGCTGTCCTGGAACTTGCTCTGTAGACCAGGCCTACACATCAGCCTGCCTCTGCCTCCTAAATGCTGGCATTAAAGGCTACTACACTCATAGACACATAAGACTGAGATACCATATCGGTTCGTATCAACTCTAGCACTAAGTATTATGAAACATTTGGTTTTCTTTTCTGGTTTACAAGGCAGCAACTCACATGAAATGAGATGCTCCTTCTCAAGACCAGTCCCAACAGATTCACTTTCTTTACATAATGAAATTATTCTCTAAGATTTCACTATTTTTTAAGGTTTATTTATTTTACTTTATGTGTGTGGGTGTATTGTCTGCATATATGTACATGTATCATGTGTGTGCCTCCTGTCCATGGAGGCCAGAAGAGGGAGTCGCACCCTCTGGAACTGGTGCTATAGATGGTTATGAACTACCATAGCAGTGCTAGGAACCAAACCCAGACCCTCCGCAAGAGCAATAAGTACTCTGAACCACTGAACCATCTCTTTAGCCCCAAGACTTTACTATTTTTAAAAATTATGTCCAGTCAGGCTGTGGTGACACATGCCTTTAATCCCAGCACTCGGGAGGCAGAGGCAGGTAGGTCTCTGTGAGATTAAGGCCAGCCTGGTCTACAGAGTGTGTTCCAGGACAACCAGAGCTGTTACACAGGGAAACCCTGTATCGAGAAATCAGTGTGTGTGTGTGTGTGTGTGTGTGTGTGTGTGTGTGTGTGTGTGTGTGTGAAGGTGCCCACAGAGGCCAGCAGAGGATCTTGAATGCCCTGGAGCTGGAGTTAAAAATGACTATGAGTCACCGCAGGATGAAAGCACGAAATTGAACTCAGGTCCTTTGCAAGAACAGCATCCACTCTTAACCACCGAGCTGTCTGTCTCTCCAGCCACAAATGTCATGAAAATAGAACGTATCTGTCTTAGCTAGGGTTTCTATTGCAGTGAAGAGACACTATGGCTGCAACTCTTATAAAGGAAAACATTTAACTGGGGCTGGCTTACAGTTCAGGAGATTCGGTCTATTATCATCACAGCAAGAAGTATGATAGCATGAAGTCAGACATGGTGGTGGAGAAGGAGCTGAGAGTTCTACATCTTGACCCACAGGCAGCAGAAGGAGACTGTGTGTCACACTAGGCCTAGCATAAACATATGAGACCTCAAAGCCCACCTCCACAGTGACTCCAACAAGGCTGCACCTACTCCAATAAAGTCACACCTAATAGTGCCACTCCCTATGGGTCAAACATTCAAACATGTGAGTCTATGGGGGCCGTTCCTATTCAAACCACCACAATATCTTAGAGATAAGAATCCACTCATTCCCACACATTGAACCCAGTATACCAAGTACCAGGAAGAAAGCTATGACCAAAACGAAGTTTCTGCCCTCAATGCCTACTTTTATTTAGAGAAGTGATTTTCAACCTTCCTAATGCTGCGACCCTTTAATACAGTTCCTCATGTTATGGTGACCCCCCAATCATAAAATTATTTTCATCACTACTTCACAACTGTAATTTTGCTGTTATGAATCATAATGTAAATATATGATATGCCGGATATCTGTTTGTTTGTTTGGTGATGGTGGTGGTGATGGTGGTGGTGGTGGTGGTGGTGGTGGTGTGTGTGTGTTTGTGTGTGTGTATGTGTGTGTGTGTGTTTTAAGACAGGGTTTCTCTGTGTAGCCCTGGCTGTCCTGGAACTCACTCTGTAAACAGGCTGGCCTCCAACTCACAGAGATCCACTTGCCTCTGCCCCCCAAGTGCCTTTAGGCGTGTGCCACCACTGTCCGGCACATGCCAGATGTCTGATATGCAACCCCTGTGAAAGGATCCTTCTACCTCCAAAGGGGTCACAACCCACAAGTTGAGAACTGCTGACTTAGAGACAGCCAGCAGAAGTAATGTTCGTCTGTGAAAAACAGGATGCTCGGAAGGGGTTGCCGCGATGGGCAAGACCTGAAAAGAGAAGCTTATCACAACATTGTCTGTACTGACTTTCTCAAAGAGGCAAGATTTTTTAAATTGCGATGTTAAAAACTTTTGATTTCAGCTTCAGTCGAAAACTTAACCAACTGAACCGAGTTACCGTACCTATGCGTTTCCGTGGGGTAAATTACCTTGTGCCCTTGACTGGCATTGAGAATCAGTGTGAAACATCATCACATCTCTGCATCTTCTGGGACCCTAATCTTGAAGATGGTGGAATATGATGACTGACCTTTGAAAGACCAGTTCTGTTTAGTAGCGAAGGCCATAGTATTCCCTCTGTATTTCGTCTTCATTGATTCCTCCTCTGCCGTGAGGACACTTCAAAGTGAACATTAGATCTGCCTGAGACTTAATCTGTGCTCTCCCTTCACTTTTACTTTTCCATTTTTATTTCAATCTTTTTATTTGTCTTGGTTCATAAATATTTATAAGTATTTTTTAATTCCACAGTTACCCTTGATAGTCATTTCCACAGAAGAACTAATGTTTTCAGGCTATTCTATCCCTGTAGTGTATGAAGGACCCACTGTCTGGATAATAAGAAAGCCAGCCAAAGAGAGACTCTAAGGCTGTGCACTTTGGATTGACATCTAGACTTCTTTGGGGGCAGATGGTCATGGATGATCTCTAACACTGAGGTCTGAAGATCTCCACTTTTCCCACCAGCTTATTTTTTGGGGGGGGGTGCTTTAAACAAATATTTTAATTGACCCAAAAGGCTTGAGTATGAAGAATGTCCTCCACCTTGATTCTTAAAGCATTTATCAAACCTTGTGCTAAAAGCATTAGATCTTTATTTACAAGAATGTG